TTTTTAATCATTTTTGTGGGCCAATTATATTTATTTTTATAATTTTATTTACAAATTAATTAAGAAGTTACTATTTTATAACTATATTTATTAAGTATCAGAAAAAAGTCAATTTAAAATGTGACAATCTTTGTTATAAATTTTCAACCCTTAGTTATAAAAACTGAACATTTTATAATTTTTTGATTACAATGATTGATAATTTTGATAAATTTTGTCAAAATTTGAACTTTAAATGCTTATATAAAAAAAAAAATCGTGCCTATGCATTTTCAATATCTTTCAACTGCTATTCTTTCAATATACCAGGACCCTTTTATTCAATTTTCAAATTTTTTGGCCCAGAAAATAAGATTTTATTGGCAATTATAAAACAAAACCTAAAATAATTGAAAACTGAAAATGTCCGTAAACAACTCAAAAACCAAAATCGATTTTGTCCAAAAAAAAATTAATAAATAAAAAAACACACATAATTGTAAAACCAATAMATTCATCGCTCCGCTCAGAATCTAAAATAATAACACACATCATCACAACATGGAATCATAAAACTTAAAAATTTTAAAATATTGCCCTAAAAGGTCATTCTTTTATTTTAGATACCAACTTCCACAGAACAATGGCTGCAAAAGGCAAACGAGTTCAAAACAAAATGGTCATTYCCTCATGCTATTGCTGCTATGGATGGCAAACATGTAGTAATACAAGCTCCCAACGWAAGTGGTTCCGAATTCTATAACTATAAGAACAGTTTCAGTATTGTTCTTTTTGCCCTTGTCGATGCAAACTACAATTTCATGTACGTTGATGTAGGCTGCCAAGGCAGGATCTCGGATGGTGGGGTTTTCAAAAATACAACGCTATACAAAAAACTGGAGAACCGCGTTTTAAATATTCCCAACCCATGTGTTTTACAAATTCCATATGCTGTTAAAGTACCATATATGATATTGGGTGACAAAGCATTTGCGTTGAATGATTACACATTGACACCATTCATGGGAAATCCAGATAATGGTTCACCTGAACGTATATTTAATTATCGTCATTCCAGAGCTTGCAGGGTAGTGGAAAATGCTTTTGGAATATTGAGTGCGGTTTTTCGTGTGTTAAGAAAACCCATGCTATTGCAACCCGACGTGGCAGCAAAAGTAACAATGACAACTATATATTTGCATAATTTTTTACGCTCACGCACTTCAAGCGAAGTATATACACCCCCAGGATCATTAGATACCGAAAACAACGGGGAAATTGTAAATGGAAGATGGAGAAGTGAACAACCGATGACATCTATGTTAGCAATTCGAAATRTTCCTCGAAGAACATCTGAACATGCTAAAAATACACGTTTACATATTGCGTCCCATTTCATTTTCAACGACGTGTTACCATGGCWAAATATATATTAAAGTAATATATTTCTAAAAATATAACTTACTTCACTCATCGAGCCCAGTGTTTCATTCATCGAGTTTATTGTTTCCCTCGGAGTATTTTTATCTGATAGAAAATCAAAATATTTGTATGCAAACCATTTCGACACGTAGACGTTGTCAGTACCTGTAAATAAAATATATTAAATATAATTAAATTAATATTAATACGYATGTTGTAATTGTATGGTTTTTTTTTWAATTTAAACTCACCTGATCCAGTAGTTTTTTTAGTTTCTCTTGACTTTTCACTCCTAAACGTTCCCGACAGGCTCTTCATTTTTGCCTTTAGAATATCTACGGGAATATTCATTTGTGCACTGATGTCTTTCCAAGCATCTTCTTTTTTATTTCGATTGTGGTAATCTTTAAATTTTGCATTCCACAAAACTTCATAATCTCGGTAAAGTTCAATTAACTCAATACATTGATTTTGATGCATGGCATTCGCTGCACACGCGTGAGGAAAACAACTAGTTCACACGACGCGAAACAAATGGACGAATCTTCTTTGACTCGCGTCAAATTACCGACAGCGCTCCGCTCGCCACGAGGCATCCTCGCTTGCCTTGCTTATTACGCGAGGCAAGTTCAGACGGGACGAAACAAGTCGAATCTTGACTCGCGCATCAAGCCTCGCGCATCAGATTCGCGTCGTGTAAACCCRGCTTAACATTATGCGAAAACGCCTAATTATTTTAATTATGTAGATTCATAAGAAGGTTTAGTCGTACTACAGAGCACGGCTGTGTTATTAAAAACAATTTTGGTAGGTACCTATCGATTAAGTTTAAATAATTAATAATGTTTATATTATTGATTTAATTACAAAATATCAAATTAGTGAGAATAATGTGGTTACTGGTTGTTATCTTTACGTAAATAATAATAATACATTTCGTGGTATGTACCTACTAATTACATCAGAAAAGTGCATAATCGTAATTTCGAGCAAATGCAATTTTAGCGCAATACTATACAATTTTTTATTGCATCATTGAATTTCTATTGTTTATAATGTTAGATCATATATTCATATGTATTAGTATACATTTATTAATTATATTTATATCTTATCATTTTCATAATCATAATATTATAGATAGTATTAAAGATAATTATTTATACTAAGGCCCCTCAAAAATTTTATTTTTAAAGAGTTATGGTTGAATAATTATTTCATTTCTTGCGTGGTCACTGCTCGTCTTTGTGTAAATAGTAAAATAAATTATTAYTATTGTTTGCATACTTCCCATTAATAACCCACGACCCATTATATCACATATTACACAACTTCATAAAATGCATATTTAATTTAGTCGTGAAATCAAAATATTCAAAATCAATTTATGGGCTTGAAATAACTATAGGCACGCATGACAAAATTAATGTAAGTATTTCAAAGATCCAATCAAAAGAATGAATGTTGTTTAAAATGTTTAAATACATTAACATATGACTATTTTGCATTGATTAATTTTAGTGAATTTTGATAGTGGGAATAAATTGTTGAAAATTTTTAGTATATTCTTTAACCGATGCAAGGTAAATTKCTTTATCACATTTCAAAAATCTTTACATTTTCTTAATCGAGCCATTAGAATTTCTTATTTTGTTAGTTGATAGTCGTTTTAATGAAAAATCTACATAGTTTGCAGAGACTTTAAAAGTCAGTTTAATTATGGTATGTGAATGGACTGAATGGAGGGGTATGGGTGGCAATAC